TTTCCATCTGTTATAGAATAATCAGATTTGATCTTTCGATTAGAACTATGAGATTTTGAAATTTTATTAAATTTTAATTGTATCAAGTTTTTATTGGATAATCTTGAAAATATGCCGTTATATATTTAGATTGATCAAATTATTTCTAAATTCTATACTTCGTAATCATCCTATCACACTTATCATTATCAGTCATATTTATAGATCTTATTGTAAACGAGCTTTCAATTAGTGTAAAATTCATCAATAATACTGCGTTTCAAACTATAGCGATACTCTTAGTGATGATTCTCTCAGAGACATTTGCAATCAAATAAAATAATGCTATTCTTGCGTAATCTTAGGAAAAACTCTCATGGACCTCCCTCTCAATGATGGGTGCATCGTGATTACTCTTGACAAAAACGCTTTTACATACGTCAATATGGATGATGTGCATTTATATGTCATGAAAATCTTGGCAATTCTAGCAAATGCTGAAACAATTCAGCACAATCTTATCCTTCATTGTATGTAGAAAAAAATCAATGATTAGGTCATATGTTATCCAAAATATAATATGAGTAACGATCTTTCAAAAACTTGCTATAAATCAGAATGGTACATTGTTATTGAATTAATCATTTCAATAATCTTTTGCAAATCGTCAAATACTTACAGATCTATATATCAAGATTTATCATGAAAATCATAGTTAAACAGATATCCTACGCAATTTTTTTCATAGTGATTTCCTATGTCAATGCCACATACTCCCGACCGATGTTGTGTAAAACATGAAATTCAGTGACATTTCGATCTAATGTAATATTATGCTGATATCTATACGTAGCGTGTACTAGAATGAATCGACACACCAACGTTACTTGACGTAAACATACTATTAATTCATTATTTCTTATCACAATTCGAATGAGTCAATGCCTATAGTGACTACTCATTTTATCTGACACTATCTGTTGCTTGTTCTCTCTCTCTCTCTCTTTGTTTCTCTTAAAACTGGTACTTCACATAAGTGTCGATAGAGGTTTTAATAATAAAACGACTAACAATGACAAAAAAGCATTGTAAAACATAAAGCGATGAACTAATGTATTCTCTTAATTGCTTAGAGTATTATTTGATACGATGTGTTTACAGCAAACTAAAATAACACAAACTATCATCATATGATCTGAAGGAAAAAAGTTCCATTAAAAGTTAATAATGACAATTCAATAATGATTGAGGATAAATTATCGATGATATTTTTCATACTTTTCCTTGACATAGAATGTTGAAATTTTTATCATTTAGTCGATCATAACATACTAGATAATTTTTTTTAACTATATAGAAATGTATTAACCCTTTGGGGACGGTTGGTCTCTTCAGGGGCCGTGGTGATTCTCTAGAATTTCAAAACACGCAGATTCCTATATGAGATTAGTTTTTATGAAAGCATTTATCAGAGAGTTTTTTGGTATAAATTGGGTTGTAATTAGGTTATTTTATTCAGATATCCAGTAATGGATAATAGGTTCTTTTAGAAAATAGAAATGTTGATTGATTTATGATGAAATGTACAGAAAAAAAATCCGTCCCCAAAGGGTTAATATATAGAATCTTTCAGATTTAATAATAAATGTTATCTTCAATCTTCATCAGTTACAAATAGAGAATCAATCATGACTGGTCGTAGAAAACAATGAGGAGCATGTTTATACACATTGTGTTTTATGATTTACACTTAAAAAAAAAAGAATTTTCTTGTAAACTATGTTTTAATTAAGGTTTTTATAAATATTACTATTCAAGAAATATAGATGTTACAAAAATTAAATACAACAAGTCATGGATTTCAGCACTTGTTTAGACTAAAGAGATAAAACTTTGAAAAATAAAATATACTATGCCGTTGTCATTTATAAATAGAGATATTCGATTTTAAGGCTTTTATACTATATGTAAGGTTCTCACAATTCCAAATTTAAATAGAATCTTTTCTTGTTTTGTAATAATTGCATAGAACTCATCATATTGCAATAGGAAAAGTATGACTTAAATAGAAGATTAAATTAAATTAAATTTTAGATTATTGTAAATAAAATTTATTTATTTGAATCATACTTTTTCTTATGAAACTCAATGAGCTCTATCCAACTATCAGAAAATAAAATTGTACTGAAATTTTGAATAATGAGTACTTTGTATATATTGTAAATACCTTAAAATTTAAATATATCAGTTCGTACATACTCAGGAAAGTCTTTAATTTATTATGTTAGTGGTGAAACCTTTTATTTGACTTGAATATGTTGGATCTTATCAATTAACAACACAAACACCTTCATGGTTAGTTTTATTTTAGATGTCCGTTGAGATAGATTATTCTATCCATTAACAACTTATCTGTCATGGATTTACTTTTATAAGAGTTGTGGATTTTTTTTTTCTTTTATAAAGTAGAAAAAAAGGCTTTCAATATGATAACATTTTCCATCATCATTTTTGTAATCCTGCTTTTCAAATAAGATTTCTACTTCCTTTTTATTATATATAAATATACAAAAAATCGACAATGTATAAAATATCTTGAGAGAAAAACTCAAATGAGACTATCAATTGATTTACATGAGAGCTTTTGCATTTCTGTTTTCAATCGTGTGCTTATTTAACTATGAGGTAACGCATACTATATTTGTATTTTAGTTTTTAGACCATATTTTTGTTCATATAGAAATATGTAGGTATGCATTTTTTTCTCATCATTTTAACTATTAATTTCGGTTAGCAATAAGGAACTCTGAATAAAATAATGGAAATTAGAGCTTCAAATGAGCTGAACATTTCAAGACAAGTTTTCAATGATGTAACCATTCAGTTTTTTTTCTCGTCATCAATTGTAGATCGATCAATAAGCAGTTAATTGAATGAATAACTACTTAAATAGTTATTATTTATAAATTTGTATGTCCATTAAGTTAAGATTTAGGTAATATTAAGTATGATTTAAAAATCATCGCATTAGAAACTATTTATAAAAGGATGAAATCAGTGATATACCCTTCTTTTTAATATGGAACGTACGTTACTTGATGAAAATCAAATTTAAACTTCTAATTTATTGAAATAGATACTTTTAAAAAAAGAAGCTTTAAAATTAATATAAAGATCGATCATAAATTGTCAATAAGTAGATATCTAGTTGAAAAGTATGATTATATGAAATTTCATTTGTTAATACAAAATTCTAGGGTTCATAAGTGTTTTCGATTGAAATTTAGATTGTCTCTAAAAGTTGTGAAATTTCCTAATTTCTCTCCCGCTAAAAAAGAAAGGAAGGATCGTTAAACTTATATGTTTCCTGATTGTAGAATAATACTTATTTTTTCTCGGAATTCAATACTGATACAATTTTTTTATAGAAATACTTTCGAAATCTCATTTTCTGATGTTGACATGAAAGAAATCATTCTTACATAAGTCTAAATGAAAATTAGAATTTATTATTCAATAGAAGAAAATTATTTCGTAGTTTTGCACCTAATTTATAATGAATTCTGGCTACAATCTAGTTTTGCCTATTAGGATATTTATGTATGTAGCAATTATAAGCAACTTTTTGCTGATTATAGTGATAATATTACTGAATATTATCATGCATTCCTTGCTTATGATATCTTATTAGAAAGAAATGTCATTACATCTTTAATTAGTTCATAGAAAAAATATTGACATATTTCAATGGTGAATTCTTGTTTCGTCGAAACGCTAATTGATTTTCTTGTTTCGTCGAAAAATTTGTTAGAGCTTTTTTCATGGTGTTCTCGTTTCGTCGAAAATAAAATTACGACTGTTCTCGTTTCGTCGAAAAATTAAATTGTAATGAAAAAAGCAGGATCAAAGCAACTAGCTTAATTGCTTTGATTGTCTTCAGCAATATTTTTTCTAAAGAAACTGATTAAGGGTGTGAGTGAGGGTAAGGGTGGAGGTGAGAGTGTGGGTGAGCGTTAGAATGAGGGTATTCAGTTCGCTCAAACCTATATTCACTCCCACACCCACACACATTCTAAACAACAAATATTAACATTAGAAGAATATCTTGAAAAAGTTATGCGATTAATTGATATTAAAAAATTCTGAATGGTTTTTCTTATGTCTTCTTGTTCAATATAGTGCGTGTATTTCTTACAATGTTCTCAAATAAGCTCTTTCAACAGATTCATTGAGTATCATTCTATTTAAAAGTCTATTCAAGAGAATCACAGAATTTATGATAAGCTAATTATGTTTATTATATTTTCATTTCATTTATGCTTTTCGACGAAACGAGAATAGTCGTTTTTTCATTTTCGACGAAACGAGAATGGATGAAAAATTTATTTTCGACGAAACGAGCAAATCAATTAGTGTTTCGACGAAACGAGAACTAACCATTTCAATCACTATTTTATATAGTCTTATAAGAATTCAGATGCTTGTTGATTTATATACAGTAAAACTTTTATAAGATGAACACCATTGGGATCTCTCAAAAAGTATTCATAATGAGATGTGTTTATCTTATAAATGTTTCAATTCATCAATAAAAATACACTTGTTTCTTCAATCATATTCTATACAAGATATAAATCATGAAAAAGAATATTATCTTGACAATAGTGATAATGACAGCACTCCATTTATTTGCATGGAAAGTGCAAAAATTTTAATCGAGAAAGTAATCTTTACGAGACATAAGCTGGATAAAACTATGAAGATTTATTTATATATGCATAATTGTTTTATATTATTCATTCGAGTGACAAGAAAACAATGCAGACTGGAAATAGTAGAGTTGAATAAATCAAATTTGACTTGACTTGAAATTTTTCTCAGTGAATTATGCGGAAAAATCACTGACTCGTTTATCTCTTGATAAAAGTCAATTTATTCTAATTAAGGTTTGGGGATGTTTTCACTGCGCTAAACAAAATAAATATCTACCATTGTAGATTTCAAAAGAGAACAAAAAAAAAATGTCGTCATCTAGACAATTAATAAGTTCAATAACAATTTATCTTGGTCTACCCATATTTATATGTGGTACTTTGGGAAATTTACTTAATATTCGTCTTCTTTGGCGAACTCGTCATAATCCATGTGCATTCCTATTTTTGGCTTTATCATTTATTAATTGTTTTATCTTAGTTTATGGTTTATTCACAAGAATATTAAATGTTGGCTTTTATTTTGATTGGTCAAGTACAAATATTATTTGGTGTAAAACTCGCACGGCTTTTAGTCAAGCTGGTTATTATATTTCATTCACATGTACTTGCTTAGCAAGTATTGATCGATTTCTTGTTAGTTGTTGTCAAGAAAAATATAGAAAATTAAGTCGATTATCCATAGCTATATGGGCAGTCATTTTAACAATTATATTTTGGTTAAGTCTTTCTGTTCCTCATTTAGTATATCTCGAATTATTACCAAGTCCAAGTACAGGTTTAATATCTTGTTCACTTGGTCGATATGATACTTTTTCTAATTATGTAAAATATTTTTCATTTCCTGTTTATTATGGTTTATTACCAAGTATAATTTTGACAATAACAGGTCTATTGACATATAGAAATACAAATAAATTACAAATAATTCGTCAAAGACAAATATTTCAAAAACAATTAACATCAATGATGCTTATACAAATTCCAATTATACTTGTTTCAACAGTACCATATGTAATATTTACAGAATATTCATTATCTACTGCATCAATGACTAAATCTGCTAATCAAAAAGCTATTGAACTTGTGATATCAAATATTGTTTCAGTTACATGTTATATAACATTTGCATGTCCATTTTTTGTTTTCTTAGTTTCATCAACATCATTCAGAAAAGAAGCAAAAATGTTATTTTTATGTCGAAAACCAATTTTATTGAGAACTAATCAAATTCAACCATTTTCCACACATCCTACAAAAAAAATACAATCTATATCGATGAGAACTAATCAAATGGCATTCTACCCTACAAATAGTTTGAAAAAATATAAAACCAACCAGAATTATTAAAGAATGAATTTTTGATATACTTTCAAGAAATTTTTATTTATTTTCTGTTGTTTGTCTGTAGATTTCTATTAATCATATTATCATTTATTGTAAAGAAAAAAAATTGTTGTTGTCTGTCTACAGTGGTAGTTTGATTGGAAGTGGGAGGAAGTTGTTGGGGGTGTAAGATCCTTCGAATTGTGGAAAATTTCATTTTTTCCTAGTAGAGCTGGACATTTCTTTTTGGATTCAGATAGTAGAAAAATATTTTCCCTTTGCAAAAAAAAGGCACGACACTCCCTCCCTAATGTTGGCTGCTTCTAGTTACCTTTGTTTGTCTATATGTTATATCACCTATATTATAATCAAATGATTGTTCAATTCGAAACATAATTTAATGAATAAAGAACTATATACGATGATTTATTTGTATGTCAAATCTTTGAAATATATCTTCACAATAAATGCAACATAACAAATAAATAGTGTGACCTTTATTCTTGATAAAAGGACATTACAAAGTATAAACGTTCAAACAATTCATAAAAATATAATGAAATCTTTGTTGATGTATCGAAAGCACTGAAAATCATCAAGTTCTGGAATACACAATGGATCATCTTGTACATTGAAGTTATCTGAATTTCTATATTATGAATCTCAATATTCTGATTAAGGATATTATAATATGTACCTAAATATTCTGTGAAAAAGCGAGGACGATTACTACATTGAGTAATTATATCTTTGCTTTTGAGTAGATCTGTAATAAATAACTCGAATAAGTACTTGTGTTAGTATCAATCAAAGTTTTGATGATACTTTAAAAAGTGAATTGAAAAGATATGAAATACAATTATTAATGGCATATCCGAGTCATTCAACATTATTCGAAATATAGGTAAGGAAATTTTTTTAAAGAAAAACAAAAGCTTCCAAAAAAGAAAAATAAACGAATATTTTATACGCTAATAAAACGTGTCATTGTGCCAAAAAAAGTATCCCTATATGAATAACAGTTACAAAAAAAAAATACTAAAAACGTAGGAAAGAAAACTGTTAGTGCAATCATTGTGGAATTAAAATATAGGACATGATGGAGTAGTTGACATCGTAAAAGAAGAAATTCATCAATATTTTGTTTCGATTCATGAATTACTATTTACTGCTAATATCTATCAATGATGAAAGGTGTTAATCACAATGTATTACAGTGAGTATCAAAGAAAAGTGCAAGATATCTATCTTAAATTCAATCGTGTTTCATAATAATTCTGTAGTAGACTTCGATCTCATCCGCATGTCTGTTATAGTCTGTGAAGAGAGAGAGAGAGAGAGAGAATAGCAATACTAAGGTATTGATCACGGTCTGTGACAGATGAAAAGCAATGCTAAGGCATCCTTAATTCATTGCTAAAGTGTTTGTGACTGATATGTCTATCATAATCTGTATGAAGGAGCAAGCAGCGGTGTAACTAGGAGTTTTAGACCAATGAACAAACTTCTCTTGTGTTGAAAAAAAAACGATCGGCAAGGTTTTTATTGATAGGCCAACACTTTTTTGACCTAATAAAATACTGATAACGTAAAAAGCAATAGACCGATAATAACTTTTAACTCTCGATAATTGACTGAAACTTCTTTCAGCAGAAGCTGTTGATTCAAATAATGTTACTAAGAAAATTAATAAATAACGAACATTTGAATATAATACATTGTCTGTCTCTTTAATTAGTTCATTTAACCATTTTTTTTTCTCCAGTCATCATCCATTTTAAGTAAATCATTACATCTTTTTTTGCCATCTTTTTAATTCAAGATTTAATGGTAATAGTGATAATAAACGATCAGTGAAGTGTTTCGATAAATGTTTTATTAATTCAAATGGTTTTTCATTTATAATTTCTTCCAGTTGTCATTTACTTAATAAAATAATCCGCTCACCTTTCAAGCTCGATAATAGACTTTTAATATTATTAATAAGTCTGTCTCGGAAGGGCAAATAAACGTGATCGCAATAAAATTGTTCCGGATCACATATTGACATAGTTCTTTTTCTCGCAAAGCTAATATTGAATGACGCGGAATCGATGATGTGACAAACAGTTCTTTATATAATTTATCAACATGACTACAAATAATATTATGAAAATAATCTTGAGCCTAATGTTTTCGTTGTTCAAATACATCTAATAAATTATCAAGATATCGATTATCAGCCTTTACGTGATTAGTGTTTTCCCAATAAAATCGAGCTCATGTTCATCCAAACTTACAGTTCAAATACAATAAGCGATTCTTTTCTTAATTCTTCACAGAAAGAACAAGTAAAGAGTGCATGTGTGATTCAGATGGAAGAAAAAAAAATACAGTTACTATCTAATTCGAAAATTAATTACCAAATTCTGAAAAAGTAAAATTTCAATGGACAAATCTTCAAAAGAAATAGGCAATTACCGATTTGTCCCCCTTAGTTACACCTCTGGGGCAGGATCTAGATTTCTATTCCTATACCTGAACACTCCTTTTAGGTCGTGCTTAATGTTGATCAGATCCAAAATTTTCATACCCGAACCAAATCAGAACCAACCTAATGGTCTCTAACCGTGTTTCACAAAAGTTAGTTTTTTGATACTTACGAATTAAATATAATATTAGCTTGTTTTTTATAGGGATGATCTATTTAAAAAAATGACTACAACTGTTTTTATTACATATATAAAATTTTAACCAGTAGGTAATTTAACTTCTTCTCCTATGACTGGCAATGTACATTCTCGTCGTTTTTTTCTTAATAATTCATAATGACTAGATACAAAACGTCGAGTAACTCGAATTAATTCGTCCCAATTTTCATCATTGATTAATCTATCCATATGTTGATTAACATAAAATTCATCAAGTGCATACATTTCATCAGGTCCAACATAATGAAAATCATTTGGTTCAGGTTCTCTATGAAATCTTTCACGTCCATTTTCAGCTAATGTAAATGCTGGTGCATGGGCCCAAAAACCAACTTGTTTTGTTAAACGAACACCTAATTGTTCAGCGAGACAAGCAAGTGCAACATCGGATGCTACATTACCACGTGGCCAAACATTTTCAACATAATTTGTTAAATGTGGTTGCATTATTTCAAGTAATTTCATACTAAAAAAAAATCCAGCACCACCTGATGGAAATTCTCCTGGAATTTTTGTTCCATTTGGTCCTAGACAGTCACAAGTTCCCCAATGACCACCAACACGAATTGGTTTTGTATAATCCAAACCATCGAGACGTTTAAGTAAATGATGAGGAAATATAAGTGTATCACAACCTGCTATATAAAACCATTTTTGTCGTTGACTTATAGAAAGATTCATTTGTTGTTGATATATAATTTGAAGACCATAAAAAAGTTTTTTCATATTTGATAATTTATCTTCACCAGCACCAGCAATAACAGTTACAGGTAAATAAGGATAAGAAGTTGCACTAAGAAAATAATAATTTGTTATACGTGAAAGCCATGTATCACGTGTTGCTGTTGCTCGTGTATGAAAAAATTTCGAAGATGTAAAAATAACAAATACAACTTCATCTTCAGTATATGTTTTCGGTTTTATATAATTACGTCGTGGAATAGGTACCATATTACAATATTTTTCTAAAGTTGTTTTTCGATATATATCAAATGAATCAGTTGATGGTGTTGTTGATGAAACAGGAAATCGATTAATATTTGTCTTATCACAGACAAAATTTTCAAATGGTGTACGACTTTGTGGATGACGAACGATAGGAATAGTATTAAGAGTAGCATTTATTTGAGAATCATTTAATAGTCGTTCAACTAATGGTGCTTGAGCTAATTTTAGAAAAAATTGAGTTGTAGTCTGGCGTGATACATTCATCGAAAGTCCGATTAGAAATGAAGCAAAAATCAAAATAATAAAACAAGTTGTTAAAAAACATTTTTTTTTCAATGTTGGTTTAACATCTTGTGTCACAATCATTCTATAAATTGATATAAGAGAATAATCTGAAAAAAATTGATTAAATTTACAGAGAATTATTAAAAATACAAAAAAAAGATGACAAAATATTGTCTTATCATACGTTAATAAAATATGGCATCGTTATTTGCATTATTTTTTCTTTAACAACCATGTAATACCTCTGCCATGTGCCATTATTTCTTCTATATGTTTGACTCTTCTCATTTTCCATAGCCGACGAACTTTATTCTTTTTTCTCTCTATCGCTCTGTGACACCGTAATTCCACACACACATCCTTGACGCACTTAACATTTACGCGAAAAATGAATGTTTTTTGTTCTACAGGATGGCCCAAAAGTAACGTTACCTACAGAAAAAAAATTGATTATCTCCATTATGGCTCAAGCAAATGAGCTGATATTTTTATCGCTAGTAAAATTATGTTCACACTTCATATTCATAGAGACAAGGTCAGAGAGAATCTTGTTTAACTACCACTATTGAATTCAACAAAAAGATTTTTATTTTTTCAGCTATAGGAAAAAACCAACATGCGTAACAAAGCGTCTCTCTAGGCATGTCTTTATGGATATAAAGCTTGAATATATCTCTCTCATTGGTAAAAAAAATTAGCTCGTTTGCTAGAGCTGTAATGGAGATATTCAATTCTTTTTCGGTAAACTAATTTTTGCACCACCCTGTATATTTTTTTTTTCTATCGGTGAAAAAGTAAAAATTGTTTTGTTGAAGCCAATAGTAATACTTAAAAAAGGTTCTCTCTTACCTTGTCTTTATGAATATGACGTGTGAATGTACTTTTATTAGCGATAATAAATCAGCCCGTTTGTTCGAGCCGTAATGGAGATATTCAATATTTGTTTTCGGTAACGTTACTTTTGGGCCACCCTGTATTTGTATTAAAAATCATTCACTCAAACTTTGAATAATTGTTCTGTTCCCATATTATTGGATTTAATTGAACTCATCAGGTATGACTCAAAGAAAGAAGGTATGGAGTCTAGATCTGAATCTTGATGTGAATGTTGACGTGAGCTATTAGATGAAAAAAAGACACTGATGCACAGCTACATCCATCACTGTAGTTCGTCACAAAAAACTAAAATAAGTACGAACTTCATTGTTTTTCATCAGTGTTCTTGATGTGCCATTATCTAATAGTGTATATCCGTACATCAGGTCATTGTCTAAATATTTCACGGACGAAAGAACAAAATTCATATCTATAACTAAACTTTTATATGTTAACGTATACTATACAGTTACAGTGTTTTTTCTTGCTTCTAACGTCCATAGATTGTAAATCAGTAGAAAAATAAGCGAGTATCTCATAGTTAAAAAAAAACATAAGTTTATTTACTAGATAAAATGTATAAGACATCACTGTATTGTAGAAATATTTCCGAAATTCGAGAAAAAACTCAAAGTGACAATGGAGGTGACGCAAACCAAAAAATAAATCATATACATTTCGAACAGTCTCAACAACAGATATTTTTAATCAATCAGAATTTTTATGCATATAAATAAAATTTTCTATGAAGTCTAAGAAAAATATTATTATCAAAATAAGTTTATCTATTATTCTATTCGAACAAATATCTCACAATATTTATTACAATATAGATTTCTTTTTTTTTTAATATTATGTGATTGATGTCAGTATTACGTAAAATGATTATTTACTCTAACGCGTATGTGTTTCTTTTTTCATCAAATTGATTCTCACTCAAAGAACAGACGAATTTTCTTTTTCTCTTTTCAAACTATTCTAATGCACACTGATAAAAAAAAAAAATCAAAAAATTTTTACATTGTTATTAAAACTTTTGGCTTACACCGTTACAGAACATAAAGAAAAAAGCATCAATCTACATTACGTCTAAGAACGCATCGCAAACAAAAAACAAAATTTTTTTTTTTGTTTTTTGTGAAAGCAATAAGAAATACATTTGATTTTTAAATGAATTTTGTTTAAACATAGCTATGACTAATTTCCTTGGCAACTTGTAAATTATTGCCTACTACTTATTAGTAGAAAAATATACAATATTCTCAACAAATTTATATAAACTTTGGACATACAAACATATTCAGAAAGATGATTCGTAAACAAGATTTTATATAGGCTTTGTTCACATTATAAATATTCAAGATTTTTTGATTGCATAACCAAATTTCTCATTTGAAAATCGTAACATTTCGATAGGAATAGCACAGAATTATATTAAAAAAGAAGCGAAGACACTTACGACAAAAAGAAAAGAAAAATCTTAAAATATAAGACACGGATGCATAATTAATGATTCCTTGCCTCCGTCATAAGAAAATATTATTCAGCAAATAAGAAACTTATTACGCTTGGTTAGAAAAAAAACCGATTCAATAAAAAGAAAAATCTATCAAACTTACATGAGCGTTAGTACAATCATTTTGTTATAGTCAACTATAGTTAATTTCAAATGAGAAGAAGTATTGTATAATCATTACAAAAAACTAACTCAATTATCACGCTGTGATAGAATAATGAAAATATGTGTTAAATCGAAACTTATTTGAAACAAATAATCGAATTAAAATCTTCTATTTCTTATACTAATACATTCTAAAGTTATATTTTAACTCATTAAAAATACTGAATGCTCTCTATGATGACATTTTATTTGATAAAGAAAACAAATTTTTTTTTTCAGATTTCCATTGAAAACATGAAATTGAATGCAAAGTCAGAACATAAAGTTATTAAAAAAGAAAAATAATAAAAATAAAAACTAAACGTGTTTTTTTTTCTAGCTACTATTTTACTTCTCAATGTGATGTAAATCGATTTTGTTTTATTGTGTTAACGATGGAATGAAAGAAGAAAGGAACTCGTAGAAGTATCATTATTGTAGCTTATGCATTTTACTTTATCAAACCATATGTCATACACTCAATTCATCTGTTACTATACAAAATAAGTATCATAATACTACACTAATGTCTTCAAATGACTATATATATTATAAATATATCTTGAATTGTCTCATTTTATTGCTCTATATAACAAAAAAAGTGTCACATTATACCTTATCCATTCAGAAATAGATGAAATAAATTTGATAAAAATTTTTTTCTGACATTAATATAAAACACAAGTTTAATAAATAAACTTATTTTAGTCTTACTTTTATGATATAAAATTATAACATTTCACCAAAACAAAAGAAAAGTTTAATATCAAATCAATATATTCATTAATTAAAAGACAAAAATTTTTACCTTATCTACTATTTCAAATATATTTTTTTTCTTATTATTCTGTTCTCTCTTCATGGCTCATTGGCAAACATTTCATAGGAATCAGAAGAAAAAAATATACAAGTCTTATGTTGTATAAGAAGAAATTGGAAGGCTTTAATAGTGCTTCAAACACTTCTCTATGAACGAATGAAAGGCATGAATATAGTAAGAAGGAAAAAGACTGATAGAAAAAAAGCTATTAAAAGCGTTATTCGTGCAGTTTTACTGTTGCCACTCTCTTTTGAATTTTTTACAAGAGTATCCATATGGCACAGTTAAACATGAATGCAGTGTTCTCAGAGGGCATTAGTATGAATTTTTTCTTTTCGCACGCGGCATTTTTTTTTTTTCGTTCTATCAAATCTGTATATACTAATGGAACATAAACATACTTATTTTTACTAAGATTTGATGATCCAATGATGTGAAAATTACTCTCTTCTTGCTTTTTTTTTT